TGTTGCTGACAATCTTGCAATACTGAACTGTTACTATTAAAAAAAAAATAAAATACAAAAATAAAACTGTTCATCAGTGTTTTACCTCAGCACTCTACTTGTACCCAGTTATTGACCAATATTCAAATAAGAAGATAAGAGAGGAAATTTATTTCCATGTCAATGTTTGACTGTAAAGTCTGTTTTGAAAACATTTTGTAATGAGCTTTTTGTCATGTGGTTTGCTAGTTTCCACCCTGAGATTATGTGGGGCACATTTATTTATTTATTGTTTTAAAAGTGATATTATTATCTTTAATTATTATTACTATTTTTATTTTTTTGTCCTATGTGCTATAATCTACAGAATGGTCACCAGGGTCACTTACAAAGCACTGCAAAGAGATCTGTTTTTCCATGCATAGAGCATGCAGCGGGAAAGATGGCAGTACAAAATGGACTGTATTGTGTTGTTAAAAAATATGAATAATGACAAAAGGAGTTGATGTGGTGGACTTGTGACCAAGAAACCAAACTGGATACTTAAAAGCTCCTTACTACTCTGACTTTGAAACCAAAGCTGATTTATCTGCACAGGTTGCTTAACATGAAAAAAAAAAAACTTGATAAAAACTATACTTAATCTAGAGCAATATCTGTATGGTCAGTAAAGCTGCACTTTGTGTATTTCTTAACAGCTTCAGATCTGTCACTTTTAATTTGTACCATAAAAAATAAAGACTTGTTTGACATGAAAAATAAGGTCCTTTCATGTGTTTGTCTTAAATCTCATGTAATAGTCGCATGATCAGAGCTCATGTAATTTTGCATCAGTTCAATACAAAAAATAGTTAAATGCTTGAAAGAAAAGAAGAAAGAAAATATTTTTTGCACTGTGGAGCATCACTTCATCTGCAAAACTAAATGCTGTTTCTGTATCCAGAGTGGGCATGTATATTGGTGATGTATTATTTTCTCTACAGCTATGCAGAGTAGAGGATCTGCCTCAGGAATATCATGGAATCCCTCAAATAAGTGTGTATTATCCCCCAGGCCAAATGGAGCAAAGCACAGATGGACATGAAGGCCAGAAATGGTGAATCTCCTGGTGTATCCACAGCTCCAGAACAGAGCCCTGGTAAGCAGTGGAAGGGGGACTGTGATAATAACCTTGGGTCAGCCTTTCAGATTGTTTCTCTTGCATTTTTGTAGAGCTCATGAGGCTCATTCTTCATTTTATTCTGTAATTATGATATTAACTTGCATTGATTCATGTTGAGTTCTGTCTAAGTACATTATTCTGAAAAATGAACACGTTTTGAGAAGTGAATTGATTGTATTATAAACTTTTTCTGGAAAACACAGCCTAGGGAAAAAGCTCTGACAATATTATAACATTGTGTTTGAGACTTGGGAACAAAACTTTCAAAGCCTGTTCCCTTTCATTTTGTTAAATATTGTTTGACATTTCCAATAATAAAAAAACCAAACAACCAAATACTTATCTGCATAGAAAATACAGGGATTAGCTGGGATATTTATATATCTTGATTTTTTTCAGATTGGAATTTTCCTTTTCCATATATTTTTTCACTGTATTTTATGGTACACATAAGAA